AAGGACAACGGTGATTTTTCTTTTTACTTCTCAGTTTTCAATGTTTGAGCCAAATACAAATATTTTAACAGACATCATCACAACCTAAATTTTTTATATAAATAAAAATAATCAATAATGATTCATATTCATGGTGTTTGTGCAGCAAATAATTAATAAAAATAATAATAATTTACTCAACACATTTTTTTTTCAAAATTTTCCTGATTTGATTTGATATCTAATAAAGATTAAATAAAATTATTCTCAAAGCTTACAAACTAATGCCTCCAAAATAAATCACTAGGTGTGTATACTGGCCTTATGATAATTTTTTATTATTATTAATTCTATTCATCAACAATGATTTTCCACCAACCATACAAATTACTCTCTGTGATGTTTCTAGTTCTGTTTTCCTTTGACTTTCCAGCTAATATTTCCGACTATTTCATTAATATCATTTTTTTATTTGTACCTGTAAATCAGTGACAGTGCATTTGTTGTAGGGTTGTCGGTTTGAATCCAGATTTGCTGGGTTATTTACCACTCGCTTCCAGAAAAATGTAATTTAAATTTTGATGACGCGATATATGTATCAGCCAGCAGAGGGAGCAATTACTGACAGGTTCGCCTTCACAGCGAGACTAGAGGAAGAGCCGAGTGTGTGTGGCGTTAGAGCAGCGGGAAAAAGAAGTGACAGAACAGGCAGAGAAAGTGGAGGAAAGAAGACAGCGAGGAGATCCAGCCTAGGAGGAGAGAAGAGGTCAGTCACCGTGTTAGAAACTTCCGTGACAGTTATGCGAGTCAAACACTCGTCAGCGCTCACTTTCCCGCTCACACTTGACAGACAGAGGAAGGCGGAAAAGGTCCTCAAAGGTCCACCGCAACTCTGTCACTCACCGCGGCCGATGTTGCCGGGTCTTCTCCGTCTTTTGTCTTTTTTATTTGCCCTCACTAAAACCCCATTTCCTTCCCCGGTTTCTCTGCTGCGGTCACACTGTCCTCCTTGTCATCTGAGAGACAGACGGAAAGAGCAGTCAGGACTAAACAGGATTTAGACGTGAGGTCCAGTTCACAGTCGGTTCCTCTGAATTTCAGTTTTCTGCCAGTTGATGACAAATCTGAACCAATTAAGTAATTTTTAAATCTTAATTTCGTATTATTAATTACATTATTTAATGATTTTACACACGGAGACACTGGATTTAGGTTCTTGTCACATCGGTGTGTTACCGTAGGATGAGCTATTAGGTGTTAGCTTTCAGTTTATTCCAGCATTTATGTGTCATTGTCGATGCTAGCAGTGCTAACCTTCACTGCTAACCTAGTTTTGTTGTTGTTAGACTTGACTGTTGTGTTGTTTTAGTTCACGATAAGCAGAGACACAGTTGATGGTCAAGAATGTCCATTTTTGCAGGTTATTTATTACATTAAAAAATAACAATAAAAGTGAGAGCAAAACTATCTAAATATAGTTTATACTTGATCAGGTGTGTACTGTGTACACAGCAGACAGTACTGTGGGAATCTGCATGTTGTTTATTAGAAAATTCCAGCCATATATTTTCTAATAAAGGAGCACTAGATTTTTAAAAGTGTTTATTTACTTCCTCAACCACTGATGTTGACAGAGTGATGTCACTGCGGCGACGCAGCTCAGATTCGTCAAAACTTTAACGATGCATTTTGAGCTTAAGGTTACAAATATGAAGAAGGGCCACAGGCTATAGCTAGAAGGTTGTCGGTTTGATTCCTGGTGTAATTTAAGTACTGAACTCTGATTGGTAGCTAAATTATAGGTTAACTAATCACCCAAGATTGAGCACGTATGTGAATGTTAGTGTGAATGGTTGTCTCTACATGGAGCCCTGTAGACCACATATGTCAAACTCAAGGCTCGCGGGCCAAATGCGGCCCACGAAGTCCATGCTGCTGAGTTTCTTAACTTGAATTAATAATAATAAATTACAGAAACCTGTATTAATACGTTTTTGTTTTGTTTTTTTTCGCTCCCGTAGCATCTTAGCGTCCGTCACTTCGCTGTTCAATTTTCTACAGAGCATTTCCACAACGCTCTCTCTCTCTCTCTCTCTCTCTCTCTCTCTCCCTCTGTCATTGTTGACTTCCTTCCACCTCTCCCCCGCTCATAACAGTTTACGAGGCTGGTGCAGACGTGAAGATAAACAGCTGAGGGCTGAGCTGACACTGGAAGTGTGAACGCTGTTAATTAGCCTCTTCCTGCAGCTTCACCTTGGATTAAAAAAAAACAAAACAAAACTGCAGTGTGAGACAGACTAATGTGAGTGTGAGACAGGTTAATGTGGAGGCTAATTTGTTTCTTTATGTTGACCACCTGACCGGGCTGTGACCAGAACACGTGTTGGAAGTGGATGAATGGTGTAAAAAGACACAGTAGCGCCATCCTGACATCCTCGTCACCACTGTGTCTAGTGCGTAGCGAGGCTATTTTTAGACGCACGTGGATATTTTTATGTCCGTGCTGGTGACGAGGAGGCAGAAAAATTCCGCCTCTGGTTAAATCCCTTTTTTTTTTTCTTTTTTTTTGAAGATCAGGATTAGGCAGTGAGATGTAAGAACCTTCCAGCACAACTGTCTCTCTGCAGCTGCCACGACAAGAAGCATATGCAGCGTTTGACG